GAGACACTTGGATTGTTGTCAGCTCCGGTCAAGTAGTCTACTCATTTCAAAGAGTGTTGGGGTCAGAGGTTAAGTTGTCTCCAGTGTGTTGCAGCTTGACTGACACTGAGCTCCAAAGCAAACCCTTTGGCTTTTTCACTGGCTGTGTCTTACAAGTTGAACACTTGCACACGCAAAAAAAAAGTTTGGAGAGAGCAAAGAAAACAGTGAAATTAAATCTTTCCTTGATCTTATCACGTTCGACACAAATACTCAGCACAAACAAATTTAAACACATCTCAAGACACAAAGTACTGAAAACACATTAAAGCACTAAACAAACGTCCATGTTTTTCATTGATGCTCGTGTTCTCATTTTAGACATGTACCGTGAATGACGTGGACAGCTGCACAGCTGAGCTCAGGGAAACAAAAAAGGCAGGTAAAGTTGTAGCCTTTTAAAGAATGTACCAACTGGCTTGTTTTGGGGTGTGTGTGTGTGTGTGTGTGTGTGTTTGTTTCTGTTTAGTGGTGATAGCCAAAAGTCTTCCAAACCATCTATAGCCATGTGACGGACTAATGCCCCACTCTGTGCTTTTATAATTTACTGCAGCTCTGCTTTAGTCATTAAAGGGTGTGAAGGAGTGTTTATGAAAGGAGATATATTTAGGATTTAGTGATCCAGAAATGCACCCCACCTTTAAAAAGCAGGTAGGAAACAGCAAAGAAGGAAACTATGAAACACTATGAAAGAACTTTTAGTCCCTCCAAGGTGCTTTACGCCATCAGATTCTTTTTAACCTTCTTCTTACCATCTTTAGAGGTCCCCCTCCCCAAATTTATTTTCTGTAAAGGTAGTAAAATTCTGGGGGCTGATTTATTCATATATTATTCTGTTGTAGATAGGTGCAGATAAACAGTTTATCCATGCCTATGTTTTTAAATGCATTCCACAAATTACACAATTCAGTGTTACAACTGTCCACTTTTATGCGTTTATTATAAATAGTAAATAGTGCTATATTTTACACAAAATGTTTTTACCAACAAAACAGTTTTACGCCATTGTAAATGAAGAGTGTAAAAAGAGAAAAAAACATAACAAATGAGCATTATGTAAGACTTACTGAAGCACTTACATGTGCTTGTACAGGCGGACGTACAGAAAAGACACATGAAGACTAAATAAATAGGAAATGGAAGTAATATTTGCAAGTTCCTTATAAAAAGAAAAACTAATTAAACACATGCAAAAGCAAAAATTAACTGTCAAACTGAATAATGTATTCACTGGCAGAGAATTTTTTTTTCTTTTTTTTTGGCTTAATGACATCACAACTATATTTTCTATCATTCATCGCTTGATGACTTCCCCTGATTGCTCAGTGCATACAACCCAAAATGAATGACATTACAAAGACAGAGTGTGTTTTTGAGGTTATAACTGGGGAACATTTGATGCACGTTCATTTACATTACATGAGGTATGACTGTATTGCACTTTCTTTGGGTTGCAGCGGATTCACAATGACTCCACGTGGCTTCAGTTCATGTGTTCTTGCTGGTTTTCCCGGTGTAGTCACACGTTGATCGCCAAAGAGTTACTTAATTTACAGTTAATATCATTTTCCATAACACGGTTTTGATGAAGACATTCTTAGAAGAGCAGAAGTTCTTATGAAGTCTACCTTAGCTTGCATCTCTGCTACATGTTTAAAAAATAAAAATACTAAAAGGTCTTGAGTGGAATTACTTCCCATATCCCCGCCCTCCTACTTTTCCTCTTGAAGCATGGTGAATGATCAGCGCTTGGTTCTTGGAGCATGACATGACACACAAGCAAAGCAAGTGTCGGGTAACAAGAGCGACCGCACCTTTAGTTCTGATTATTCCAGACAACTACCTTCATCTGCGTCACTTCACCTTCATCTCAGAACGTTCACTTCTTGCCAAAGGAGAATGTCTGAATCGCTTTAGCCCCCACACTATGTCTTGCTGTCCTGGGGAAGTTGTCAGAGGCAGCGGCTGGTGGTGTTTTCAGGGACAAATGTCAGCGAGGCCTGGCAAACCTCTTCTTCACGCCACCTTGGGAGCTTCAAATAATAAAAGGCACCTAAGGGGAACATAAAAAGTTTATTTTTCTTTGTTTATTTTATTTTATTTACTTACAACAGAAAATCTCATGGAGGTTTAAGTGTGAAATGGGCAGTTTAATGTGAGACGTGATGTTGGTAGGAAGGGATGGTGAGAGCAGGTGAGAAAGAAATCTGGGACCCTTTGGTAAACTTCGGAATGAGAAGCTTTGAGAAAGCTCTGAGAATAAGTCTGGACATAGTTTGTACTTGGTGAGGTTAGTTATACTGCCCCGAGACAGAGCCTTAGCCTGGATCTCTGGCACTGCTTCACTGATCAATAACAACTCTAAATCTGACCTCCAGTGGGACACATGGTTCTAATCCGGACCTGCCAAGGGCCATAATCACCCCCTGTTAAAAAGCCTCTTACCCTGCTTTTATGCAGATACACGTACACGCCTGCGCACACATAGACACACATCCATTTGCCCCCCCTCCCAGCTACATATGAGTCCCTCCCAGGACTGACTAAATTAATGACATCAAGATGTTGCCACTGATGGGCCAGTCAACATTTTGGTAGTGTACTTCAGATCAGCCCTAACAGCAGACCGCACACTCCCCTCTGGCCTGTCAAACGCACTTCGAGACACGAGTCCTTTCATTTTGGCGGCGATCTTTGTTACACGGGGGTCATTACATGGCTAGGTGAGCTAGACTGAGGATTTGATGGGCAAGCTCATCATATGCAGGGGTCACGAAAGGACAGTGAGTGAAAACGTGTGTGCTGGGATAAGCTTCGGGCCACGTGGATAGCCCGATGATGGTAATGTAAACTGAGGTAACCGCGCTGCAAGCATTCCCTAAAGTTTAATGTAATTTCAGCGCAGTGCTGGGCGATTTGAGAAGCTCACTCATCAGAAGGGTCTGCGCAATTAAAGCAGAGGTTATGGTTTAGGCCTTTAAACAAACCTAAATCAGGTTGGAAGTCGGTATGAATTAGTGTTTTTGTTACAATATTATAACAAAAATAAAAAAAAAAATTACATTGTACCTTGCTCTGACTGTACTGTCCATACTGGTAGGAAGGGTGGTGGTCCACATAGGCTGAGGAGGAGTAGGAGGGCGGGCAGTAAGACTGAGTGCTAGGCAGGGCGGGCATGCTGGTCAGGCCTGGTAGAGCCTCCAGGCGCTGGGAACCATGACAGCTAGCAGCCATACCACCATTGGGCTCCAGGCTCCCAGTCAATGGGGAAAGGGCAAAGTCACTCTGGGACTGATGTGGTACTCCACCTGGATTCAATAGGCCCATCACCTGAAGGCAGACAGAGGAAGACTTGATTGTTTAGAACAGGAACTGGATTTAATTGAAGAGATTTTCTACTTACACCGTGACCTTCAAAATAAAATATATTGCAAAGTAAATTTTGAAAAATCCCAAGGCAGTATCATACACTCATTTTATCCACTCCACACAGGTGGGCTGAAGTGTAAGCGCTCCTTCTCTCCCCCCCTGTTCACTGTCATAAATACATTATTACTAGCTTCCGTCACACATATGGTTCTCTTTATTTGGAATAGGAAGCTAACAGTGGCCAAAGCTTTAGCCCACTAGTGGAATCTGCTATAGTTCTTATGTCGTATTTGCAGAAGCAGGTTAATAAAAATATTGCAGTATTTTTCTCTCATTGTTTACAGTAGCGAACTCGTAGCATTTCCTCGAAATTAAACCAAAAAAAAAAGTACGTGTCTAAATTTGCTCAGTGTTGATTTTAAAAACAAAAATGCTGAGAACGTGATGTTTATTTTTGCTTAAATTCTGCCTAAAAAAAAAAAGCAAATTTCACTTTCACGCTTTCACTTTCCCTTAATCATCTCACTTTCTCTTGAGACAAAAACCACAGTGTCCTTGTGAGGGCGAAGAGGTCAAAGGTTAGGTGGGATTGAGGGGCGGGGTGTGTTTGCATATGTGTCTGAGCGCTACATCTCCTACAAGCGTGCAGCAGTAGGTGTTTGCGTGCGCACGTGTATGTGTATTAGCAGTTTTTTGCTCCGATGTCAGGGATGTAGGGGTATCAATGATCCATCGGGAACAGCTGCACAAAGGTTTGCGTGAGAGGCAAAGTGAAGTCATTAAAATGTCTAAAAATGGACAAAAAGGGAGAACAAGAATTACAGTCCGTGTAGGAGGACGCAGAGCCGAAGCCAAAAGCAAAACGAGAAACTGTCTAACTGAAAAGAAAAAGATAAAGAATGAGTAGTGCCAAGTGGTTTAAAAGACAAAGGCTTTCACAGCGGACAGTCAGTTGGAGCACACACGCACATGTACGCTACAGAGACAGCTTCGAGGGTGGCCGTGGCTCAGGTGATAAAAAGTGCAGTCTTCTAGTGGCATGGTTGCCAGTTTGATCCCCAGCTTATCAACATACTGGACAAGACACTGAACTCCATTTAATTCAAATGGCAGGCCAGCACCTTGTTTTCCACCCTTGCTGTATGAGTCCTTTGTCAATCAGAAATGCACTGCGATGCATTTAATTGAACTTAGTTAAGATTAAGCTGCTATATTAGTTCAAACTATTTAATTTCCTCAGTTATTTTTACATATTTTTTCTTTTTTCCCCTTTAGTATTTAGTTTCCAGTTGTGCAGTCTAAATATTTTTGAACACTCAAGGCTGATATCTCAACTTCTGTTTACGTAGATTTCAAACAATACAATTCAGTCACGTATTAGTAATTAAGAAGTTTTATTTTTTAGTTAATATCTGATTAATAATGAATGAAACTAGGCCTTGCATGTCGCAGTACCTTCAGCCTTAAAGCTATTATGTCTTTGGCCATGTCATATCATTTGTATTGTAATGTAGCCCAGAAAAAAGAAAAAAAAAAATTAGATGACAAATTTCACACCCATCGTTCTTCGCTGTATGAAAAGTTTGGATGGATTTCTCACTGTTGGTATTCATTTACACTCTCACATCCCTCTCCCCCGTTCCTACCAAATTGCAGCTTAATATCCAATGAATACTTAATCTTAGATATTCCCCATGCATGTTTTTGCTATGAATCTATGAATTGTATTTAAGGATTCCTTGATTGTGTCTTCATCCAGTTTTGTTCTTGTGAGTCTTTCATGTTCTCTGGTCTGTTATTGTAAAAGAGATTTTGTTCTCAGACTGCCTGATTAAATTAAAATATTTTTTTGGTCCTTTTTTTTTTTAAGATTTTTCCCCACGTGGTGTTTCTTTACAAAATAAAACATATAGTACACATGATTGTGTTGAAATGCATGCACCATGTGTGTGCAAAGGTTAGTTTGCGTTGTGTTTGCATGGCTCTCTGTCTGATCTAGGTGCTCATGCCCTCTCTGTCTGCAACTGAAACAGCATCAGGTCCTGGTAGTATGTGTCTGTTTTGAGGTTGTTCCGGAGATTAGGACTCGGGGGGGTGCAAATCCTGGCCGCTTGCTTCCTTGGTGAGAAAGGATTGCTTTGGTATGCACCAGATCAGCAGCGAGACACAGGAGAAAGGGAAACCATTGGCGTGAACACTACTCCCAAAGCAGAGCTAACTGTTCAGACAAGAATATCACCTATCTAAAGTAAACCTTATCCATATCAAAACTCCACGGTCCTCTCAGGTGGCCATATCTGGAGTTGAATGAAACCCCGAAACTTCTGAAGAATCCAGTAGAGTAGATCAGATATTATAGACAAATTTGGAGGTCAGATAAACGGATAAATCCAGCAAGGATTTGATACAAATTTGACCAAGCTACGTAGCTATATGACGAAACTGAAGAAGTAAAGTTTTCTGAGTGCAGAGAGGTCTTGAGGTATTAACTATCAATGTCATAGAATTTAATAAATTCTCATTTTCTCTGCCTTATTAAGTTAAAATCGGGAAATTAATTCTATCCTCATCTGAAATCGAGAAAAACGCATTGTAATGTACATTCAAACAGCTGCAATGGATACATAAATTAAAACAAATTAGCCAACAAAGTGAGTCATTTACATAAATTACACACCTTGTTACGAAGGGCTAGATTACTTCATTCCAATCAATTAAGACACTGGAACATTCAGTGATTGCAATTCCAGACTGAGAAAACATTCGAGGCATGCCGTCCGATTTGCAAGATGAGATGTCCGTTTAAATGCAGAGCGGCCCACTAAGGTTAATGTTGAAACCATCCATGAGGCCACAGCACCTTTGGCCTCTTTATTGGAGTTAAAGTCCATTGGTGACCCTGTGGGTGCAGGAAACTCAGCCCACAAACATGAGCTCAGTTACAGGAAGGCTGCTACCAGCAAGCTTGCGTACCATTTACAAATTATGAGTTAGCAGACATGGCCAACTTTGAATGCATTTAAAACCAGATGTTTCAGATGTTTCCCAAAGTGGTCAGTTATAGCTTCAGCCACAATGGTGCCACCTACTGCTTTCTAACTGCACCTCAGTGGCCACAACAAAGCTCTTCTTCTTTTTTCTCGGTATATACATCCTCAGGCATTCACAAAGTAAGAAACCTGCCCGGAGCTGTTTTTTTATCTGAGCCTGACAGGAGTCTGAGATTCTCTCTCATGGGAATTAAGACTCAGCATGCATTGCATGTGAGCCCGCCACCCTTTGTGGCGGTTAAAAGCTCGTTTTACGCCTGTTAGTCTATCTTCTGAGCTGGTAGGGAGCCACTGATGGACACTGATGACTGTGTAATCGACCATAATTGTCTTTTCAGTTTTGATTTGTGTCATCATCCGACATCCGTACATCCTTCCTCACGTCTGGTCCTTTCTACCCCTCCAAAGACTGACGTTTGCCACATTTTAAATTCATCAAGCTACCCGTCGGAATAAACAAAAATGAAAAGCTACCGAGTTCTTTAGCCTAACAAGGTGTCATCTGTGTCGCTGCAAAGCCGTCTACGAGGCCACACACAGAAGTGTGAGTGCTCGTGTGTCATTATTCCAACATATGGTGGACTTCTCGAACCGCAGCGAAGGACTGCTTCTTTTTTTTTTGTTATGTGTGGATAGGTGTGTGCTTGTATTTCAGTCTAATTAATGTTTGTTTATGCAGAAGTACAATAACTTGGCAATAAATGTATTGCTGTGTATTTTAACAACAGATTGGCAGACTTACCTGCGGTGAGAGGCTGTTGCTGATGGTCGGGTTGACGGCGTTGGTGTGTCCTGCTGGGGCCACAAAGTTTTCTGAATATCCTGAGAAGCCGTGTCGACCAGAAGACAGGCAGTACGCAGAGCTCCCATCCTGGGAACTGGCTGAGGAGCTGAGCCCACTCTGGTGCACAGAGGTGGGTGGTAGAGGCTGCGGTCGGTGGACTGTGCTGGGCTGCTCAGAAGCTGCTGGATAAAATTAGATGAAACATTTTATTTAAAATCCCATGATTCTTATAAAAACACAAACATGTGCGATAAGAAGAAATCTGCAAAATCATTACTCAGGTATGCTCAGATTTGTTCAGCTATGCTCACCTTGAGCTATAGACGTCTGAGGGTAGGGGCTGTCTGACAGTTGATAGGGTTGCAAACCTGGCATAGCTGATGGGGGGAAACCACCAGGGATGAGGTGGTTAAACGCCATCAGTTGATTAGCCCCTGCTTGCTTCCTCCACCGGGCTCTTCGGTTACTGAACCACACCTGAGAGAGTAACATAGGCAAGTGTTTATTTTTCTCCTAACCCAATAGGGTTTGCCATCAGGCCAGTGAAGGTATATGTGCACATGCGAGGCCAGTCGGTGTGATTACAGGGAGCTGAACTGACAGAGATCTTAACATTTGTAAAGTGAAGTGAAATGACACACATTACTGCTTTGTGTGCCATGGCTGGTCGCTGGGTTCAGATAAGGCTGGAGGGTTGTTACGGTTGTTAAACCCTATATTAGGAAACCGTCTTAAACAAGCGTCTATTTTGTGATATTTGATGATCTTAACATAGCCCTTTTTGAGGAGTTTGCCAAAAATAGGACACTGTTTTCACACACGGTGGCTGTAGTGAATCTGCATTTTGTCTGTCTGCATGTGCAGGGGCAAAGGGTCAAGGGGTTTTAGAGGAACACATGTCTAATAGCTGTGAGGAATGCGTGGCAACATCTCAAGGCTATTTAATGCCCATGTGACACACGGTCATGACGGACTGACACAGTGCTATACTGTCAAGATTCAGGTCTCCAAAACGTTTGTGTGCGTGGGTCTAACCTGAACTCGAGCCTCGGTGAGTTTGGCCCGCTGAGCCAGCTCCTCTCGCGTATAGATGTCAGGGTAGTGCGTGCGTTCGAAAGCCCTCTCCAGCTCCTCCAGCTGTTCTGCCGTGAAGGTAGTCCGACTCCGACGCTGCTTCCTCTTCAAAGGCAGACCCGGCTCGGAGTCCACATCGGAGCCCTCGTCTGAGTGACTGGCTGGGATCAGGAAACAAACTCTGTGTTAATTCGATATTCAGAGGAGTCAGGCTGACACAGAATGAAACACTGTAGTAAATACTAAGCTGGGGTACAATAGCAGGATCTGATACAATAGATTGTGCTGAGTGCAACACATGGTGCAGAGCCACTTTAGATTGTATCCTCCTGCTCCCTTAAACTCCTCAGTGGTTCCTGAGGGGATCAAAAGCCAGAGGCTGCTTGAACATGGATTAAAGAGGACTACATCTCTCTGGGGTATCCATTCCCTGGGACACTGTGTCTCTTCCAGTCTTAGCCATGCTGTGTCCTATGCCGATAGGGTCCCATAGTGAAAGGCAGTCAGCCTTTTGCAGGTGCTTCTTAATCTGTTTGTTCAGTTGAGGGCAGGAGAGAGCAACTGGGTAACTGGGAGACAGCCATTGGGACCTAATTCAGCAGAAGAAGGGAATCATTGAATGCTTGAGACCATAGACAACCATTTCTGAATTTTGAGGGGGAGGTTGCCCATCTATTAAATAATGATTAAGCTCCATAAACTAGCGTGACAGTCTTCCATTGTCCACCATTACGTGTGTGTAATCCCCCCCATCATTCTCACTCATATGCACACTCACAAACATGCATCTGCTGCGCCTAAGCTACGGGTTTTCACTTGGTGAATGTAGACTGTGACAATGTGTCAAAAACAGATGGAAATAAGACAGAGTTGGAATCCACTTCCAAATCCACCCCAGAGGGACCCCTTAAGGCTCATGAGGAGGGTTCACTGCACCTTTTCGACACTCAAACTATGCAGCAAACACCTCTACGCCGAGGGAGACGAAATAAGTGGCTCAAAACCAGACGGACAGGTGTAAGCAGCAGAAAGGCTTCAGCAGAAGACCGAAGCTTGGCTATTTCCCCCCAGACAGACAGACATTCTCCCTCTGCCCTTCAGATTTAAAGCTTTAATTAAAAAGTGCCAAGTCAGACAACAAGGAGGGGGTGGGGGCTAGAGGCAGAGATCTCCCCTCGCCTCTGGAGTCTCTGGAGCCAAGCAGGAAATGTTTGTGCTGGTTGCCAGTGTGTGTCTGACCAGGCATTACACACGGATTTGGCCTGAGGGAATGCTGCTGTGATAAGGACCGCCAGCACACAAGATTCTGATGCTGAGAAGAGCTCTTTATTACATTTGGACTGAGGGTGCCACGTAGGTGTATAGGCTCATCAGCGATTGGTTGGATGCTTCAATAGGTTTGGAAAGTGCAACTCTGAGCATGGGCTGTTTTTTGTGTTGTTTTTTTCCAGGTAAAAGTTTGGCCTGAGACGCACTGAAGCACATTTTATATGTAAAATACATGTCCGACACAAAGAGAGACTTCGGATTGAAGTAAAACTTTGCTTATAAAAGCAAACTTATTTTGTATTTCTCTGTGCATTTTTTATAAATCAGCAACTTGAGAAGAGTACATCTCAAGATGAGAAAGCGAGCACAGCTATATCCAGTGCCATTACCATTTTAATAATGGGCGAACAGAGAAGGAAAGAAAAAAAAAGACAATGAATGACGGCAAAGAAACGCAAAAAATTCTTGAGGGAGGGAAGGCGAACTCATAAAACTCCTCAGAGGAGAAAGCTCCCCATTGGCATTGTATATCATGTTAACTACAAGACTGGGGGTGGATCTCCTCGCCTGCACCCTTTTACCTTTTATTTCTGTCTTTCCTTCTCCTTTCCCTCCCTGTTTTTATTATTAGTAACTACTAAGAAAACAGTCCGTCACAGAGTGTCCTTAATGGTAAATGACAGTGTTGCTTTTGTCATCCTCTAGCGTGCTCTCTCTCTTTTTCTCTCTTCCTCTCTCACTGTCTTTCTTTTTTTTTTTGTGGGGATGGGGGGTGTTATGTGGCCAGGCCTTTGTATCTTTGCAGGGAAAAGCCTGTGGCAGGGCTCTATTGGACCGATTACCACGCTCCATCTGTAGGAGCCATCAGGGACGCCCGGGCCCGCATTCAGGGGCCTGTCACCTGCCCAGCAGGGGAGTGGAGGGGGGCTGAAGGGTGAGATGGGGGCTGTAGAGCCAGGGGCTGAGTGGGGGAATGAAGAGTGGGAGGGAGAAAGGGGGGGGGGGGCACAAAGGAGTCTGGAGAAGGGCTACTGAGGGCTGTGGAGGGGCACAGCAGGGGAGCACCCCTTCATTCCCTCCCTCCATGGCCTGAGGGGCACAAAGTTGGGGGATGGGGAGTTGAAGGGTTGACATGGTGAGGAGATGGGAGGCTGAAGGCACCTGAAGAAGATGATGGGGAAGGCGTGCTGGGTGCCAAGCTAAGGCAAATTGGGGTGCTGGTTATTCTTTAGGACCTGTCCCTTAAATCTCATCAATTTACTTCACTGCTCTTGTCTTCTGCTCTCCCATCATTGCATCTGCATCTTTGACTTTTTTTTAAAACACTTTCCTGCACTGACATCAGTTTTTAAGGCATGCTGATGGAGAAGCAGGCTCGTTCCCACACATTCCCTGCAACAAAACGACAGAAGAGGATACTAACTGCACAAAGGAAGGCCTCGACCTCCTTACTTAAACACCCAAATCAAATTTTACGCTGGAGCTAAAGCACCGGGGAGCTGAAAATACTCCATCGCTCCTCACAGTTTGGCTCTGGCTCTGACGGGCGTCCTAACAGAAAGATAGATTATTATCCCACAAGCGGAAATTGAGGTTGCTGAAGAATAATCCACGAAACAGTTGTTTCAAAAGAGAGCAAGATGTAGTATAATAAACTAATAAGAAGCTAGTTCAGATAGCAGAACAGATATGACTGTGTTTATCGCGGTTTAGGGAGCTCAACAAGTGAATTCAACAGGTTCCTTTCGCTGATCAGAAATTCAAGACTAAAAATTAAAAAAAAAAAAAAACAAGTGTATTCACAGATGAGCGTGCAGGCAGATAAAATGCAAAGGGCAAGGACAGTGCTGCAGACCCACCATGCAAGATAAACCCAACCACATATTGATCGAGAGAGGAGACTGACAGGCAGGGAAGATAAACTCCAGAGGGTCACAGATGTGAACTTGGGGAATGTCCAGTTCCATTAGCTTCACCTGCAGAAGGAGTGCCTCAAACAAGCCAAAAAAAACCAAGAGAGGGTTTCGACTGTTAGGAATAAAGGCTGCTCTTGTGTATTGCAGAAACTACCTCGGCCAGGGCTTGCCTTGCCAAGCATTCACCCCCCCCCTCCACTTACCCTTTCAAGAGATGTTAATATGAAGAGACACTGTGCTCATACGTGCATATAAATTTACACACATGCACTTTGAAACGAGAAACAAACCAAAGAGGTGGAGAGAGAAGTGTGAGAGAGACTCAAAGTACATACTGAAGGAAGGAATAAAGAAAGAAATCAAAAAAGACGAGAAAGTCTCAAATGAAGAGGGAAACGAGGGGATGAGGAAACAGAGGAAAGAGAAAGCGAAGCAGAGCATATGTGGCAGTTTATAGTCTCATCTTGATAGGGGCTGGCTTAGCCCTTCCTCCAGGGGCTGTTAATAGAGAAGGTAATTGAGCTGGTGACATGTGTTCGCAACACAAAACAAAGGGCAGAAGAGACAAATGAACTAGCTATTTGCCCAAGGAAGTAGATGTGGCCCTTTCAGGCCACAGAGCACAGTGCGAGTGGGCCACTGAATAAAATAGTGGCATGCCACATAGAGCCAGAGCGAGCAGATGCACTGAGGGAAAGAATGGTTAACTGACAGCTTATGGGCTCAGCTGGGGTTAACAGTTAAGGGGGAAATGGGAGTGAGTGGGCTGCTCACTTGACTTGCTAAAGAGCCCCCAGGAACCCGCAGCTGCCTGGGAAAAAAAAAAAAAAAAA